CGTACGTACCAGGAAGCCGACTGTGCATCGATCATATGGATTTAGTGTATATTGGGGCAAATTTCCAGGTTTGCACACGGAGTAGAACCGCTCCGCAGAGCGTTTTTTTTTTTCTTTGAAGTTCCACGGAGCGGAGCGGAGCGGTTTTTTTCATTTGAAACTATCACGGAGCGGTGCGGAGCGGTTTATCCGAAGGCAAAAGCCTCACGGAGCGGAGCGGTTTTTTTTTTCATGCCACGGAGCGGAGCGGAGCGGTTTATCCGTAGTGCGGTTTTTTGTACGGAGCGGTTCCTTTACTCCGTAGCAAAAACCGCGCGAAACCGTGGCTTTGAGCACGGTTTTCCGTCGGAAAAAAACGTCGAAACCGCACGGATATCCGTACACAATCGACGGAGCACCTGCAATTTCGTGAAAACCGTTGGGTTTCGTGCACCGAAGACCGATTGTTCCGTACTGTGTGCTGTGGTTGGAGGCCGCGGGTGACACTGTATGCGTCCTCGCGACTAGGACAGCCCAAAAAGACAGAAAAAGCTGTCAATCATTCTCTTAATTTATTATTTAGAGAGGAACCATTCACATCGATACCTCCTCGACTCGTTCATACGTTCCTGCAACACGTACAACAGCACATGANCAGAAGAGCGGTCGCCAGAAGGGCGGTCGCCAGGGTCGGGTGTCGACTCCATCAGGCAGACGTGCACACGGACTGATGTGCACGGAGTGCGTTGCGCGGAGTGTATGTGTGTGTGGCACGGACTGCTGCTGTGTGCGTGGGCACGGTTATTTGTGTGGCTGCTGTAAAAGTAGAACAGAAAAACAGAAAAATACCGCGACTCCGTGGGAGAAAAACCGTCACTCCGTGGGAAAAACCGTGACTGCATTGCGGTTTTATCCGTGCTTGTGTGATGGAGTAGCTCAAACCGCTCCGTGAAAAAAACGCTTGTGCGGTTTTTTGGGAAGCCCCACGGAGCGGAGCGGAGCGGTTTATCCGAGGGCAAAATTGTCACGGAGCGGAGCGGTTTATCCGAGGGCAAAATTGTCACGGAGCGGAGCGGTTTATCCGAGGGCAAAATTGTCACGGAGCGGAGCGGTTTATCCGAGGGCAAAATTGTCACGGAGCGGAGCGGTTTATCCGAGGGCAAAATTGTCACGGAGCGGAGCGGTTTATCCGAGGGCAAAATTGTCACGGAGCGGAGCGGTTTACACCGCACCGCTCCGCTCCGTGGAAAAAAACCGCTCCGTGCAGAACCCTGCAAATTTCCACCTTTCCTTCTTTCAGTGGGGGCACACTGTCTGGAATGTGAGATTTTTTTGCCCCAAGAACAAGAGCGGCGCGATTGCATCGCACTTTTCACAACACCACACCGCATCTCATAGAAGCGAGAGGCAAAGCGCCAAACGGCGGCGGCAGTGGGGCGGCCAATCGTCAGCCCCGGCCCGATCATCATGTCTTCAGCAGGAACTGGATCACGAGGTCGCGGAAACTACGGAAGGGCCGACAGAGGCAGGTCGGATAGATACGAAGCGCCCACACAGCAGCCGTTCCGGGCCCTATGTGTGGAAGGCATCAGAACGCGGGACACATGAGGATCTCATCGCAGTTAGTCTCGACCTGAATCCTTATGGATTTGATCACTTCTGCGCTCATTGCGATCAATCGGAGGTGAGGCTCGAGCGGCGAGCAAGTTACGATAGCCACGGCACAGTGGGCAACAGAGGCGTGGGTGGGGTAGAGCCGAGTTCAAGCCGTGGTAGCTCCCAGAATCCATACATGAGCTCACAAGTAGCAGCCGCAGCAGCAGCAGCAGCAGCAGCATCCGCTGGAACTGGAGTCCCCCACGCAGCAGGAGCAGAAGTAGCAGCAACACTGTCGGGTGGCATATCTG